TGTTTAAGCTTTTTATTGGAAACGTGTTATCTGTAAAAATAGTACAAGACCTTTGCTTTGTTGAAAATTGTAGATTTGTATGCCATCTTTATAGGATACAGACAAATAAATGCTGAGACAAAGAAACCACAGTTTCATTTGGTCATTCAGGGATCAAAGGGTTAAAAAATTTCTCTTTCAGTTTGCTTCCATCAGAATCATATACTCCCTTTAATAGTTTAATCAGTTCTATTCACAATCTTAATTTTACCATAAAAAGCCAGAAAAAACAAGATCAGAATTCTACAGCAATTAAAGGTCTTTTTTAATCAACTAATCAAATTTGAATATCTGTAGAATGAAGAGACACGGGAGAAAGAAATTCGCATCGTTGAGGTGTTTTTCACAATGTTCCAAAGCACTTTACTGCCAATAAAGCATATTCGAAATGTAGTCACTTTTGTTATGCCAGATCATTTATGTACAGTGGGATCCCACAACAACAATGTGATAATGGTCAGAAAATCTGACTTTAGTTTGACTGTGGAATAAATATTGATCAGGACACCAGCAAGAACTCCACTGCTCCTTTTCAAAATTGAGCCTGAGGATCTTTTGTGTTTAAATGAGAGAGAAGCCGGTGTCTCTGAATGATACCTTATTCGAAAGACATTCTCTGTAATAATACAGTTATCCCTCATTACTGCACTTGAGTGTCAGCTGATTCAAACTAAGATTGTTTAACATTGTCCATTTTCTAATCAAACGGCTCAGAGATGTTAAGTTAAACATAAGTCATACAAGGCTATGAGCCAAGTGCTGGAAAATGGGATTAGACTCGTCGGGTGGTTGTTTCTGATTGTTGCAGACATGATGGGCTGAAGGGCCTTTTTCTGTGCTGGAGATCTTTATGACTCTAAGTGGGAAGAGGAGCCAAACCTCTTAGCCCAAAGATAGAGACACTACCACTGCCCCATTAGAATCTTACTTGTCCTTTTTCTGTTATTATAATGCAGTGAGTATCCTGAAAAGATTAACTGGCATCACAAGATAAGCTGCACTCATAATGAGTGATATTTTCTAATCGATCTGTTCAGAGAGGTTATAACACACCTCTGGAGTAGATCAGATCTGAACTTGGGCCTCCTGGTTCAGAGGTAAGGAAACCACCGCTGTGCCAGCCAAGCCCCATACAAATTAATCATGTTTTCCAACTAACCTGTTTGGAGGCATTACGACATGCTTCAGGAACAGAAGGGAACTGAACCTGGCCTTACTGGATCAGAGGTACATACACCACTATTGTCCCACAAGAATCCTTATTGTCACTGTGGTTGTCAAATCAGAAACAGCTCCTGATGTTTAAATGACGTCTGAGTCAGATTAGCATCCTAATGAATAAAGTTGCAGTTTCTAAAGGGTTAATTTTTCATACTTTTATATTTGCTTCACAAACACTGTCAATTTTCCTTTATCTCTTATCTTCCATACTAAATGTCATCTCTATTTGACTTTCCCTTTCTCATTCTCTTCCTTTTTTCTCCTTAATAGGTCTGAAGAAAAGTCATTAATACCTCAACTTTTTTAGAGTTCCTTAAGTAAACTGATAATGAGTTTTTAATTAAACGTTTTAAAATTATAAAGAGTCATTGCTCCATGGAATATGCATAAAAGGTCATTAATTGTTAGTTTTTTTTTCTTTTCTGCTGTTATTTAATTAGCTTACATCTCTGAGGAAGATGAAATCTCAAGCCGTAACACTGAAAAGTAAATGAATGTTATTCCATTCCATGGGAATAGCAAATCCTGTGTTGGATGGAGTATGGGAAGGACATTTGCAACAAAAACAGAAATTGCTGGAGAAAGTTAGCAGGTAGCGTCTGTAGAGGACATAGAGAAAGCAGCGTTAACATTTCGAAACCAGTGACCGTTCTGCAGAGCAAGTCTTGTTACTGGACCTAAACGTTACCTCCGTTTTTTCACAGATGCTGCAAGACCTGCTGATTTTCTTCACAATTTCTCGTTTGGTTCAGATTTTCAACATCTGTAGTTCTTTGTTTCAGTAAAGACATTTGCAGACTCTTTAAGAAGGATGGAAAGTGACACAGTGGTCATGTGGTAATCCAAAAGCCCAGGTTAATGTTCCAGGGACATGGCTTGAATTCCACCAGGGCTCTGGTGAAATTTGAACTCAGTAAGATCTGAAATTAAAAGTTAGTCTAATGGCAACTACACAAAACCCAACTGGCTCATTAATGTGCTTTAGGAAAGGAAATCTGGCCTACATATGACTCCACACACATAACAGTGTGGTTTACTCTTAACTATCCTCTGTGATGTGCAGAAAACCATTTGATTCAAGGGCAATTAGAGATGGGCAACAAATGTTTGCTGTGACATTAATATCCACATTCCACATAAGAATTTAGATCAGAGAGAGTTTCATGGAACTCAAAAGCATTCGAAAAATTGTTACACAAGAAATCGAATCGAGACATTATGGTTCATGACATAAAATTGTCAACATTTTTGAGAAAAAGTTGAAAAGCTGCCATCTGGAACAAAGTCCTGGAATTCCCTCCCCAATGGCATTGTGGGTCAACCTACAGCACATGGACTACAGCGGTTCAAGAAGGCAGCTCACCACGACCTTCTCAAGGGGCTAAGCGGGATGGGCAATTTATTCTTGCCCAGCCAATGATGTTCACGTCCCAAAGTGAAATGAGAAAAAGAATTAAAACAGCAGACTGCTTATGTACGTGTGTCAGAGTTTAAAGGATGATGGGTATTGGGTTGCCCAGGATCAATAATGGAGCCATCTTTGTTCTAAGTGCAAATAAAAATAATTCAAGCACGAACATAACAGGATCAATAACAACTTTTGTCAATGAGAGTAAACAGAAAAGTGTAGCAAATGCTTAAAAAGGAATACAATGCAATACTTAAAGAGACTAGGAGAATGGGTGTGTTAAGTGGCATTAATATACAGCAATATATTTTGGGGACAAGAATTAAGACATTCTGAGCCCAAACCTAAAAATTAAACCTAGCCATCATAAATAACAAGGATAATTATTTGGAGAGAGATGGGTTTGTGGGGAAAGCAGCAAAAATGGGAAAATCAGATCATTGGTAGAATTTTAACATAGCCAAGGCAACAAGAGCTGAAAGGCTTCCAACAGTGTTAACATTTTGGCTTTTAAATAATAGTGGCCTGGAGAGCATTCTGTGCGAGGAAAGCCATTAGATTTGTCTCTTTATATTACAATGCTGTTGAAGTGAAAGCCTGCTCTGTTTGTGGAACAAAAATGGCGATCAAGGAAAACTGTGAGGCATTAGGGACAGACTTGAGATATTGACTGTACACATTTAACACCAGGCTACCAACTGTAAGTGCTCTAAATTACTACTGACTATAAGTTGTATGATGTCTATTGTGATTGTTCAAAATTACCTGTAGCTAGCTAAGAAAAAGGATTTGAACTATGCAATCTTGGTTGATAAATGGGGCTGCAAGTCATTTTGTACAGAGTGACATTTCCATCAACACGACAGAAAAATATACCCCATGGTGTGACATTGGCCTGCCTATATCACTCTCAACTGACACCAATCTCAACACTTCAGTTTTAAAATTTCATTCTTGTTTTTAAATTCCTCCATAACCCTCCTTCTCTCAACTTCCATCAACCCTCGGAAATTCATCTGCTCCTCCCATTCTATCCTCTTGCCAAACTGAGGTTTAAACAAATAAAAAATTACAGTGGATGCTGGAAACCTGAAATAAAAACACAAATTGCTGGAGAAACTGGAAAGGTCTGGCAGCATCAGTGGAGAGAGAAACAGAGTTAATATCTCAAATCCATGTGGCTCCTCTTCAGAACTGCAGAGTTTTTGTCTCTCTGTAGCTGGTGCCAGACCTGCTGAGTTTCTCCAGCATTTTCTACTCTCATTCCTTTCTTTAAACATTCCACTGAATTGGCAGCCATGTCTTAAACTGTCTTGATCTTATGCTCTCGAATTAAGGATATAAAAACTAGGAGCAGGAGTAGACCATTCAGCCCCTCGAGCCTGTTTCACCATTTAAAACAATCATGGCTGATCTCAACTCGGCCTCACCTCTACTTTCCTGCCAACTCTCCATTACCCCTTCAACCCATTACTATCTAAAAAATCTTCTATCTCCTCCTTAAATTTACTCAAAGGCTTGAAACTCTTAGAAATGAATGAGATTTTCAGAACTAACAGGCAAGTTTAATATAAGCATTTATAAAAATAGAGAACTTTTAATAACTTAGGCCTGAAATGAGAACAGTGAGACTACATCCACCAAAACTGCATTTCCAAGCTGTGCACAGCTTTTGAACAGTCAGCTTGATCTGTAAAAACCGCAGAAAATTGTCTTTGGTTACCTTTTCTGCAGTTTAACAACAGGTAGTTGTTCTGTGTATGATTCTATAAAGTCTGGTTGTTTGCTCTGTGTCAACAGGCTCGTAGCAACAATGCAAAAAGATAATTGCAACAATAACATTCTCAAAATGTTTGGAGAGTTTTGGTGAAAATGCTTCCATATGCAGCTCAGATGTATGTTTAATTCTCCTATGAATTTGGGTGGGCACTGAGGCGAGATTTAATGTGTCTGTGTATCTATCGACGTATTTGGATGTAAGTAGGGAAAAACAGTGTCACACTTAGTTGTGAAGCTGTCCTGCCTGGTTAAATTGTATAACAAGGTATGGAGCTGGAGGAACACAGCAGGCCAGGCAGCATCAGAGGAGCAGGAAAGCTGACGTATCGGGTCTGGATCCTTCTTCAGTAAAATAGAAGGGTCCAGACCTGAATCGTCAGCTTTCCTGCTCCTCTGATGCTGCTTGGCCTGCTGTGTTCTTCCAGCTCCACACCTTGTTATCTCGGACTCCAGCATTGGCAGTTCCTACAATCTCTGGTTAAATTGTACGCTGTCCTGCAATGATACATGGAGAATGGGAAATCGGGGAATTGGTAAGGTGGATTGCTGCCACCAATGAAACTGTACCTCCAACATCCTGGGCAATGCCAAAATTAGCTTGGAATTAACATGGCTATTTGCATGGATTGGATATGTCACATTGGCTTAGTGTAAGGTGGAAACAAACATCTTTTAAAATGAGAAACAAACCGATGACAGCATTTGTCACACTGCAAGCTGTGCTTATGACCACACAGTCAAACTGCAGCACAGTCCCAACCAGATTTAATCTTTGAAATTTGGTTTGAAAATTGGTATTTCTTGTCATTACATAGTACGTAGAAACAGTTCACCTGTCACAATTTGACATAAATTACACATCATGCGCTACTTCCTTCCAGGTATTTCATTCATCTTTAAAAGGAAACAGATTAAACAACAAGTTCAGTGTGCTTAATAGCTGGAGAGTAGGAGTCAAAAAGCTGCAGGACTTTTAAGACTGTCACACATTAACTCAGAAACCTACTGACCAAATGATGTTTGTGAAAAGGCACAAAAAAAGTGTAGCTACTTTCTCTGCTTTTTTTTTCTAGATTGTCCACTTGAAGCCTCTTGAAAGTTATTACTTTCATTTTAAGTCCAATCCAGTCAGACCCATTTGCTGAAGCAAGCTGCAATATTATTTGTGACAAAACAATTTGAAAGAAAATAGCAGATGGAAGCACCTTCTGAAATAAAGGGATAGACAGGAGAACAGAACTTGGTATCTTGATCCTGCAGATTTGAGGACTTTGAAATGCCTTTGTTTGAAACTCGTCAACCTATTCATGATGTGCTGATGAGTTTCTTTTTTGCAGGTATTTGTGCCTGCTGAATATTAGAAACAGGGGTCCAATGTCAAATTGATTTGTTATAACAGATACCAAGGTCATAAATTAAGGAGTACATACCTGCAATAAATCTGCAGTACTGATTGTTAAGCATTTTAAACTATTTAACAGGTCTTCAAACTGGCATATCTGATAATTGAAGCATGACGTTTGTGAAAAATCAATGAGTTAAAGGATTAGAAAAGCAGTCAATGATGGAGTGTGAAGGAACACAGAGAAAATAAAACTCGTGAAACCGCTCTGTTGGAACCTCGTGAAAGTGAACCTGGTGAAGTATCAAGTAGCTGGGAGCTGGTGGAGAGTGGGCAAATGCTCCAGCAATAGATGGTGAGCAGTGTGAAACAACAGACAGGGTTATTAATGGAGTCTGAGAAAAAATAAACATTGTCACATCAAAATAATTCAGTTATGATGATAGATATGAGAAGCTGGGGTTGTTCCCCTTGCGTGTTCAAAATCAGGAGGTCCAGGACAAAGTGGAAAGGGAGAAACTAAACGATTGATAGTTAAAGCAATTAGTGAAAGAAGGAAAAATTATATGAGAAAAGAAGAAATAAAACTTGCGCTGTGAATGGTTAGGATCTGGGAGTGTGGGGAGAGGCAGGTTCACTCGAGGGGTTAGGGTCTGGAATGTACTGTCTGAGGGTGTGGGGGGAGGCACGTTCACTCGAGAGGTTAGGGTCTGGAATGTACTGTCTGAGAGTGTCGGGGATGAGGGGGCAGGTTCACTTGGAGCATTTAATAGGGAATCAGACTCTAATCTGAAAAGAACAATTTTGCAGAATTGTAATGGGAAGAATGCAACTAAGTTGAAGAGCCAGCGCAGGCATGATGGGCCAAATGGCCTCCTTCTATACTGAGACAATTCTCTATTTTTGCAGCAATTTGTGGATAGCAGCAGAGGGAGATAGCACTGTGCTGGTCTGGCAGCACCATCCTGCCTCAAGGCTTTTTCCCGGGACGTCGATTTGGGGATAGTCGGGGGCGGGGAAAGCTGTTATAGTTCGTGTACAGCCAATCAGATCATTGATCGGCAGCCAGCAAAAATCTTCAAAGTCTGGGTCCTTGTCTTATCACTAGCCCAGTGGTCATCTGGAGAGAGGCACGATGGCACGGTGGTTAACATTGCTGCCGCACAGCACCAGGGACCCGGGTTCGATTCTACCCCTTGACGACTGTCTGTGTGGCGTTTGCACATTCTCCCTATGTCTGTGTGGGTTTCCTCCGGGTGCTCCAGTTTCCTCCCACAGTCCAAAGATGTGCAGGCTAGGGTGGATTGCCATGCTAAATTGTACGCAGGGATATGTAGATTGGGTGGGTTATAGGGGGACAGGTCTGGGTGGGATGCTCTGAGGGTCAGTGTGGACATGTTGGGCTGAAAGGCTTGTTTCCACACTGTAGGGATTCTATGGAAGTGTAGGAGCCAATGCTCCATAAAGACTTTAAGGTCTCTTCCCAACATACCCATTCTCTGTGTCTCCACCATATACACCATCACCACCACTTCCTCCTTCCTGCCTACCTGGCACAGCTACAGATCACCCTGCATTTGGGTGGTGCAGCAACTGTGTCCACTTCAGAGGGACACCTTTAAAGATCAAAGGGCAGGTTGTGGAACCTCTCCAGCCTGCTCACCGTAGCATGGCAAGTGCTTTCTCTGGCCAGGAATTGATTCTGCCTGGTCACTACCAGGTGGGTGCTCCCAAACAGTGTGGAGTTAAGGCTTGTATTTATCCCTGACCTCACAGCCTTGACTCAAAACGCAAACTCCTTCCCAAGGTATTCGAACAAACGTACACAGTGGATTCCAATGCTTTCGATGTGACAATGAAATAAAACTAAATAGTTCCAATGACTGCATGGTCAGTTTCTCTGGTAGCAGACAACATTGTTCTGTTTGCGGCAGGGTGCCTGCATTATGCTGGAACTTGCTAGTCATTTTTATGTTTCAATTTCTAAAAAAGAAGGAACCTGATGAGATTGGTGCAGAAAAGCAGCACTGAACAGCTAGTGTCAGTTCATACAGATTAGAAATAACAGTAGGCCTTTTTTCCCTTTGAGCCTGCTCCATCATTCAATAAGATCATGGCTGATCTAATCATAATCTCAACATTCCTACCTATCCCGTTGATGACCTCTCACCCATTGCATACCATGATACCATCTGCCTCTGCTTTCGAAATATTCAATGATTCTGCTTGCAATGCCTTTGAGTAAGAGTTGCAAAAACTCTCTACTGTCTGTGAGAGAAAAAAATGTAATTCTCCTCATTTCTGTTGTGGATGGATAACCTTAATTTTTAAGAAAGTGACCCCTTAGTTCTAGATTCTCCCACAAGAGGAAATATTCTTACCACACCGAAGGGGTCAAGCCCCCTGGGGAACTTATATATTTCAAAGAAGCAAACGAGACACAAAAAAATTGTGTTCACTTCATGCTGATGACTGGAGATGATAATCATGGGAATAGCTTCCTGTAGAAGGGCTGCCTGGAGCGATAACATTCCGAAGAAATTTCACAGGATTCGACACATTAACCCTGCTTTCACTTCAAACACTGCCAGATGTGCAGAGTTTCTCCAGCAATTTCTGCTTTTCATTATTTCAGACCTGTCATTCCAGTCCTTCATTTTCACAGGAACCCACATGTCCTGCACTCTAATCAACTGGTCTTTAAGAGACACTCACATGTCAGATGTGGATTTACACTCAAACAGATGCTTCCAATTCACACTCTCCAGTTCTTGCCGAATTCAGTCACAGTTGACCTTCCCCTAATTTAACACCTTCATCTGAGGTCCACTCTTGTCCTCACCCTGAAGTGACTGAAAACGTACAGAACTATGGTCACTATTCCCAAAATGCTCCCCAATGAAACTTTGACAACCTGGTTGGGCTTATTTCCCAAGACCAGGTCCAATTCCGCCCCCTCCCTCATTGGACTATCCATATACTGTTTCAATAAAACCCTCCTGGGCACACCTAACAAATTGTTCCCCCTCCAAACCCTTGGCACTAAGGGGGTCCCGTTCAATATGGAGGAAGTTAAAATCATCCACCATAACAACTCTGTGAGTTTCACATCTTTCCAGAATCTGACTACATATCTTGTCCTCTATCTCCCGCTGGTAGCTGTGAGGCCTGTAAAACAATCCCGGCACTGCGATTGCTCCTTTCCTATTCCTGAGCTCTACCCTTAATGCCTCATTGCAAAATCCCTCTAGGGTGTCCTCCTTCAATACAGCTGTGATATACGCCATAACCATTAATGCAACTTCCTCACCTCTTTTGCTTCCTCCTTTATCTCATCTAAAACATCAATATCCCAGAAAATTAAGCTGCTAATCCTGTTCCTCTTCCAACCATATTTCTGTGATAGCAACAAAATTATATAACTGCATGCATTAACTCAGGCTCTAAATTCATCCATCTTGCCTGTTATACTTCTTGCATTAAAACAAATAAAGTCCAAGCTTCCAGTTCTGCTGAGCTCAGCAACCTCTCCCTAATAACTCTTTCTCTTTGCTGTATTTGCCATAGTCTCAAGCTCTTCTCCAATCTCTATACTTACTGACCTGCTGCTCTGGTTCCCACTCCCATGCTACACTAAGTTAAACCCTCCTGTGTGGCACTATCAAACTTCCCTGCCAGGATATCTGTGCCCCTCCAGTTTAGGTGCAACCCGTCCTTCTTGTACAGGTCCCATCTTCTCTGGAAGACATCCCAATGACTGACATATTTGTAGCCCTGCCCCCACACCAGCTCTTTAGCCACATGTTCAGCTGTCCCACATCTCTGTTCCTAGCCTCAATAGCACATGGATAAGTGTGAAGTGGTCTATTTTGGAAGGCCTAATTAAGGGAAGGACGTACACAATGAATTGTAGGTGCTTAGGGAGTACTGAGGATCAAAGTGACCTTGGTGTACAAGTCCATAGTTCCCTGAAGGTGTCAGCATAGGTAAACAGGGTGGTGAAGAAGGCACAGAGGATGCCTGCCTTCATTAGCCAGGGCACAGAATACAGGAGCAAGGAAGGCATGTTACAACTTTATAAAACATTGGTTGGGCTACAAATGGAAGACTGTTTACAGTTCTGATCACCACACTATCGGAAGGATGAGAGCATGCAGAGGATGTTGCCGGGGATGGAAAGTGTCCGTTATGAGGAGAGACTGGATAAGCTGGGTTTGCT